TTATCTACGCTGGTTCTATGTTCCGTAAACTCTACAATACTTCAAAGTTGTGAAATACTTAAGTCTTACAGCTATGAAACAAACTGTAGGAAGAAATGCTTAAAAAGATACAAAAACTAAACCTAAGTTGTGGGCAAATTTTTAAGTCAGAGTTTAGTCCAAAATACAAAAGCAAAAGTACAATAAAAAGAGAAAAAATAATGTTTTGGTTTCTAAAAATGCAGGTGCTTATAGCCTAAATAAGGCACACTGAAGCAGCAATAAATACTTCTCCAAAATACTTGATTTAAAAGTAAAAAAGCATTCAAACTTTCTCTCTCTCTCTCTCTCTCTCTCTCTCTCTCTCTCTCTCACACACACACACACACACAGAGAGAGAGAGAGAGAGAGAGAGAGAGAGAGAGAGAGAGCGAGAGAGCGCGAGAGAGAGAGAGAAACTGCTCACCCGGTTAAGCACATTTCAATCTATGGAGGAAAATTCATGTTGAATGTGGGTGTGTATGGCGTAATGTGACGTTTCCTTGCTAAGATGACCTGAATTCTCTCTGTGTGTATCATCTAAGATGACCTGAATTCTCTCTCTATGTGAAGGACAGGACACTAGTGAGCCGTCTTCAACAAAGAATGCACAGGATGAAGCGTGTGGATGTGCAGAGGGCGTGCTAATAGAAATAGAAGAGGAAGAAGTGAAGGAAAAGAAAGTGGTAGAAATGTACCTGGCAGAGGACAAGGAGGAGGACCGGAGGAGCACCAAGGGGAGGAGCAAGATCTGATAGTGTGGGAGGAGGTTATAAAAGAGTAGGGTGACACACGGGAATTTAGAGTGGAAACAGTCATGACAGAGAAAAGCACCAAAGATAGTGTGGTACAAACAGAAAGGAACGATGAGACACATGACAAGGTCTGTGACTTATTGAAGGATTTCCCCAACCTTAAGACAGGAGGAGGATTGCTCCAAGATCCAAGCTTACCTAGAAGCAAAGGAAAGGGGATAAGACCACTAGAATGGATGGTGGTGGTTTACCTTCGTAACCAAGGTGGGGGGAGGAAAGTGATCCGTACCTTTGCAACCAAGGTGGGGGGAGGAAAGTGATCCGTCCCAGTCCCTCTTACAACAATCCACCACTCAAAGGGGACTGGGACTGCTGTGGGTCGGTATCTGCAGAGTGATAACCGATTGCGAGCGCTTTGGTCCAGCCCCAATGTAAAGAGTGACATATTTATGCCAGGAGCTAAGATCTTAAGTTACAAGACAATTTCAGAATTGAGCCGTTTCGATCCGTTTAATTTGGTTAATGCAGAAGTTGATGTTAATAAAGTTGAGCCAGATGGACTTTCAAAATCGTCTCTGTCTCTTATTCCTGCCAAAATGAGGGAACCTTCATCAATTTTTGAAGAACCTGATCACACTATATTTATAATTCTTTGAGATGTTCACACCTCCTCCCCAATTTGTAAACAATCTCTTTTCCAGGGGCCTGAAGATCTAGTAAAACTTTTCAATAGGAATCACAATTGTTCCTACACATGTTGCAACTCCAAAGGCTTGTAAACGTAAAATCTTGGCAAGCTGCCACTATGACAATAATGTCATTGTTCTGCCAAAACTGTAGTAAAGCTTGGAGAAATAAGGCTCTGCATCATCAAGTATTTGATCCATCAGAGGCCTAAAACACCAGAATACTATAGATCCAAAGTACTGGAACTAGAAAGAGAAGATAAAAATCCTCATTTCTTTGTAGCAGTTGCTAAATTTGTTGCAGCTATTCCGTCCTCCAAGATAACTGAACTGCCTTATGCTATTTAAAGATTTTGTTTTATGTTGCTCACAAATTTTTAATGAGCTTCTAAGGGAGCAAAGGAAAGGGGGGAAAAAGGACTACAATGAGTACAAGCTATAAGATCTGAAAACTTTACCTTCTTATTCACAAATTGTAACATAAACATTTAATCTGTGAATAGGTTATGGCAGGATGACCTTGCTTGGCTGAAGAGCTTGCTATAGTTGTTTTGAAACAACTATTGTAAACTATTGTTCAAGCTCATTTTTTAAAACACTTCCATATTCAAGGCTCCTTTTTCGACACCCCATTAATTATTTTAACACTCTATGCACACAAAATTTCAAAGCTTGACAATATATGGAGAGTCTCCACATAACCCAAAACATTGATTTTCACACCAACAGGTGAAACAAGCATGTTCCCTTCCTTGAATGTTTACTCATGCTAATTACTGTTCTTAACTAATTGAGAACCCCTGAAAACAACTTTCAACAGCATTTCAATTTATGCAAGGAATTGTCATTTTCTAAAGGACTACTGCCCCTCTCGATGCCTAGCAAATATTTTATTAATATTAGCAGTGGCCAATCATGTCACGGAAAGGAGATTAGGTTGTTAATAATAGGTTTTGGGAAATAATAATCTGTCTGTAGTTAAATTACTTTATGCTGTTTCCTGCTAAATGGAATTTGAAATTTGTTGCTGCTTCAGTCTAATCTACAGTATTATCCTATGAATGCAACAGAACTAAGAAGTAACAGGATATAACACTCTCTCTTCTCTTCAAGAATATAAGTGTGGCTGCCATGTTAAGCAAAGGGGGATACCGATTAGGAGCAGAAGCAGGTTGTCCTGAGGTTACTATTGCTGATTACCTATTTGCTCCTTCTGATTGGATCATTTAGTCTCCCAACTTCCTAGGCTTTGAAACAGAGCCTGTTTTCAATGCAAATACCTATCAGCTCTCATATTTTCTCAAGCTGCTATCAATTACATTCACAACAACAGGGTTGGAAATATGCAATGTGCAGCCTAAATTGAATATCAATACCGTCATTATTTTAGGGGCTATTCGGATACACACAGTCCTCCAAATTCCCTAAGCCCTGCAATTCAGGATTTATCCGCCTTTGTGCAATATTATTTCACAGACACCTCATCTTAAAAGCATAAACAGTTTCACCCCATTTTACAGGCAAGGCAAACACATGAATAAAGCACAAATTCACATACATTTACTTGCTGTGTAAGAGAGAGAGAGAGTTCTAAAGCTTTCTCTCTGGACAGCAGTCATCTGCATGGCATCTTTTTTTTTCCTTAT